TAATAAAAGTATATAGAAATAAGAAAAAGGGAATAAATATGATATTTAGGATATAAATATAAGATTTAGGGTAATAATATAAAGTGAGATAATTATACAATTGAATAAAAATAATGATAATCAGGTGATAAATTATAAAAATTAAAAAAAAGAGAATTTCGCATAATCAAAGAAAGATCATCAAATTAGAGAAATTTATGTTACTACGGTAACAGTAATCACAATGTGACCAACTAAATTTTTTGGCTGCACTCCAAAAGTTTTCAATGTAGTTGAGCTCACAATAAAACTTTGAATAGAACATAATTTGATGCCCAGCTGCAATAATAATCTCTTCTAGCCATCCCTTTTGTGCTAAAAAGTCTGGTTGTTCACTCATTACTTTTCATGCTTCTTCTAACTTCAATCCCTCATTTAGCCATAATCCTCTCTCAATCAAAACTTGTTTTAATCCTTTTGGCTGTTTACGCAATTTGGAAATATGATAATCTGACGGAAAGATCATATCCTGTTGAATTCTTTCATCAAAATACGTGCTTCGCATCTTCGGTTGCTTTCCACTAGAGCTAAGATTCATGTGCTTTGCAATAAGCGCATTTGGCGAAAAATTAGCGTGACTTGATGCATTATCAAATGCAAACAAAGCCTGATATCCTGAAAAGCATGCTTCAAATATAAAAATAGCATGTTCAACTACCTGGTTAACCAAGTCCTTGGCCTCCCACCAACTATCGTTATTTTTGTCTGGGTGCATAATGATATAGACTTCTCTAGAAAAGTTATTTGATATTTGCATTTCCTTAGAAAGTGCAAGATGACTATAAACATCAGTCAAGAATTCGCTAACATGAATTGGATGACCATTACCTTTTTTCGTAAAGGTTGTTCTCCATCAGGAATTCAAAGACTCTGACTCCTATCGTAAGCTGAGAAAATGCACTCATCATGTATAACAAGAATAAGTAATTGCACATTATTATCTGGCCAGGTTATCTCTTCTAAATCATCTCCTGAGAAAATAAGTATTTTATATTCAAGTTTACTCATTTTTTCTAAAATATTTTTTGATAGGTTACCACATCTTCTCTCTTATGTCCATTTATATACATCTCTTCTTTACCTTGGTGTATGCATATTCAAGTTCTTTCAAATAATTTCTTGCTATATTGAAATGAATAGTTAGAAATGGTACAAATCCAAGTTCTAGCAAAATAATTTCATTTATCTGTATTATTAACATTTGTGAAATAATATCCTATTTATGTTCTCAAATATATGATTTTACTTAAAGAAGAATGTTCTCATCCCAGAGAAAGCTCCATATTTTGGCATAATGTCTTCGATGAGAGTAGGGAATTTGATGAGTCATTACGTACTCATGTGTTCAAGAATGAATACATTTAGCATGGTATACTCCTTTTCCTACTGCATTAGCAACAATCTTGCTTGCTTCTATTTTTGAATAGCTGCATTTTACAAGTTGAAGATAGAGATGAATATCATTTAGATGTATCAAAATCTCACTATTCACATTTTCCTTTTTGATATCTAACACCAGATTTTTGAGAGCTGCTGGAAGTTTATTATGTCAATTGCAATCCTCATCCTCATTATCTGATTGTCTGCCAATATCATCATTTGCTTTTACATTAGTTTCGTCAGCCAGCTTCTTATCAACTTCCTTGACAGATCTCTTGACATTCCAAAAGGTATGCAACGTAATAGTTCCTTTTGCTATCTCACGCTATTGTTGATTCTTTCTTCTTTTAGTATGACTTGAGTTTCCTATGTAACGTAGTCTATGTGCTTCGTGAGAAGCATGTTCCTGATAATATTCTTTTGCTGCTTCTTGAAGTTTTTTAACAATGCTTACAGCATTATCATTTTCCACTGGCTCATCATGAACAGAAAAACTATCAACATTGTCATAATCATCCAGCTCATCATGAAAAGAAGCATTGTCAATATCAGAATAACCTTCAGAGTCATCGTTGATAGATACATTTTTGATATACTGATGTGCAAACTTTGTTTCATAAGTCTTTCTTGAATATTTTTGACATTTCGTTGGATGCAACATGTTGATAAATTGGAGATCTTTCCTAATGAAATCTAGCTAGTGTGACTAGTTGTTACTTTTATTTGATAATCAACAAACTTCAATCATAATAAGAGATGAGAGCTTAGACTGAATTATTTACTATTGAAAAGGTGAATTTCTGAAGTTCTAAGAACTTCCTTGTGATAATATCTACAGGTAATATCAATTTCGCTGATTAGTAATAATTTTGGTTAAGAGATGAGTGATTTCATTTATTTATTTATTTACAAGTGTATTTTGTATCAGTCCTATATCTTTTAACACATTCTTTTTATTTTATTTAAATTTGGTTCTTATTGATCATGATTTTTACGATTATTACAATATTTAAATAATTATTATAATAGAAATAATTATAATTATTAATAAGTAATTGTTCTTTTTTTGTATACAAATAAGGGCTTTCATTCATTTTGTGATATTCAGTATCTGATTGCCTTTTTGTTAGTTTTATCACTACTATCTTTTTATATATATATTACACACACAATTAGACAATAATGATAATAAAAGAAAATTAAACATTTCCTGATCAGTTGATTCTCTCTAATTCAAATATTAATTATTATCATGTTACAGTAAGACATGCAGGTCATGATTGTGGAATCATGTGAACATGTGATCTGGGAACTCAAATTTGCACCAATAAAATTACAACATTGCTATGTCCTGTGATAGCAGATCAACATTTCAAATTTGGTCACTTAAAAATTTTTTGGTCAGGACTAAGTTGTACACACTGTATAATATATCAAGTATTAAACTATGATTATAACAAATTAAAAGAAAGATAACAATAAATTCATGATATAATCAGCTAGAATAAGATCTATAATTTTTAATAATAATGTTTAATTAAAAATTTTTATGTAATAAATATGTAATTTCATTATAAGCTCATAATTTAATAATTATAAAATATAATTTTAAGTGAATTTATTATTAATTTATTACATGTTTTTAATTATTATTTATTATTTTTGAGATTCTGAGAATTATTAAATTATAGAACTTATCTAAATTATTAGTTAAGATATATTACTTTTATAACAAATTATTAGATTTAATTTAGTTATTATATAGTTAATCTCCAGCACTTTTATTACTATCATTGCTATCATTACTTGAATTATTGTCATTGCTTGAATCACTTTAATCACCTATATAATCTAGTGAATCAATTATTAATAACTCAAATTTTATTTAATAAAATATAATAAAATACTATTTAATTAAATTTATAATATAAATTAATTAATTAAATTTATGATATGAATTAACCAATAAAATAAGAACTAAATATTCATATCGTAATAATATTTAATAATCTAATTCTTGACATTCAGTAATCTGATTTAAACAAAATACTATTATTTAATTTATTTCTACTAGACAAATCAAATAATAGTATTTTTGTTCAAATCAAATAATTCAATATTGAAATATTGTATTTTAAAGTAGCAAATTTATTTTTTTGATATAACAAAAATGAATTAATCAATTTAGAATATAATATCTTAATCTTTCATAATCTGAGTCAAACAAAATTAATATTATTCAATTCATCTTATCAAACAAATTAAATAATATTATTTTTGTTCAAATAGAATTATTGAATATCAAGATACATATATATATCATATTTAATTCATTTTTAGATGAACAATTTCTAATAAAAATTGATCAATGAATTATGAATCAGTTACTTTAGTATCTAATATTTTGATATTTAGTAATCCAATTTGAATAAAAATATTATAATTGATTTATCTAAATTAGACAAATCGAGTGATAATAATTTCACTTAAATTAGATTATTAAATATTAAAATATTATATTCTAAAGTGACTAATTTATTGTATTTAAAATATGAAAGTTTATGAATATGCAATATTTTATATAGAATTTATTAATCAATAAAAAAATATTAATAATTAGTATTTGTAATATACATATACTATACAATAAAATTTTAGAGATTTATATTATAATCAATCAAAAATTATCAGTATAGAGATACTTTTGTTGAATACTTTTATTAGATACTATATAATATCTTCCTGATATTTTTCAAATAACAAAAATAATAATAATATAAATAATAAATAAATAATACAAATAATAAATAATAATGCAAATAATAATTAATAAATAATAAATGAAATATGAATAATGATTTCTTTTTAAGATGATATAATTAAAAAATCAAAATTATATAAGTTACAACCAATTTTTATTTGATATTAAGAAATATATAATTTGTTTGATAATTAATTGATAATAATTTTAAGTTAAAATATATGCTATTTATATATCTATTTTTATTTCAAAAAGAATTAATTAAAATTTAATATATTCTTATATATTATAAATAATACATAATAATACTTTAATTTGTTAAGTATTACACATTTAAATCTGGTATTAATATATATTAAAATACTAAAATACTATTAGTATTTCTTTGCTATTATATAATAAAACTAAATAAATATAATATAGCACAAAATAATATTAATATAACACAAAAAAAATTAAATACATAAAAAAACTAATTAACTTATAAAAATAAAACACATGTTAAATCTTAATAAAAATAATTTATATTAAATATATATATAATATAAATCTAATTTATAATAAAAAAATATTTTAAATAAAAACCAATTAGATTTATAATAATTATTATTCTTTGTTAAATATTATTATATAAAAAAATATTATAATTATTGAACTTCTTAATATTATGCTTATTTAACTAATTTTTTGCTCTAGTATGTTAACAAATAGCTAGATAATATATAATATATCACAATAGTAACAATATATAGATAATTATTATTAATGAAATTTGCTGAAATATTTTTAAACATATTTAATAAAGTTTTAAAAGATTATATATTAATTATTAATTAGAATTTAGTAAAGTTTCAGTTATAATAGATTTCAAAATTTGATAAAGTTTTAATATTTTATTTATTAATAGTTTATTATAATTTTAATAGATTTTTAATAATTACTAAAAGATTTTGACAAGTATTCTTAATTATTATAAATAATCATTATTTTAAATAATTATTTACAATAAATAATTACTTCAAGTAAATTATTATTTCAAATAATTACTTTTTATTTATAAATATTGCATATATATCTTAATTTAAATAAAGAACAAGTTAAATTTATTATTTATTTTATTTTTTTTAATAATTCTTTTAGCTAATATTTTTATATAACTTTTTGTTTTAATTGTAAAATTATTTATAATTTCTTATTTTAATTGTAAAATTATAATTCTTGTAATTAATTTTTATTTTAACTGCAAAATTATAGTTATATAATTAAATTAATAAATAATTAATTAATATTTTACTTGTTTATAAACTGAATTTTAAAAAAATATATTTATTTCTAATTTTATTTTAGTTAATTACAAAATAAATATATGTTTTTTATCTTTAGTAAATTAGTAATTTTTTTATTTTAAAGTTATTTTATAAAACTTTTTTATTTAATTTAAATTTATATATTATTCATATATTTCCTTGTGACAAAGCTTAGAATTATAAAATAGTAGCAAAGTTTAATATTCTTTTTGTGAAAAAAATAAAAATATTAATAAAACAAATAATTATAATAAAAAAAATTCTCAAATCATACTAAATCAAAAACAAATTATTTAATAAATAAATTTTTTATGAATAAATAATTCAAAAAATAGTAATTATCATTAATTAAATCAAACTGAATTCAATATAATTAATTAATATTAAAATAAAATTAATTATAAGATAAAATCAATTTAAAAACTTTTATTAAAGAATAACTTAAAAAATAAAAGAATAATTAATCAAGATAATTATTAGAAGTTATTTGAAAAATTCTATTATTAAATTAATTAATTAACTTAATAAAATATGCTCACTACAATAAACAAGAATTTAAATATATATATTTAATTTATAACAAGAAGTCACAAATTTTCTAATATAAAAAAAGCTTATTGATAATAATAAAAATTTTAAAAATAATTGGTTAAATTATAAAATTCAGAAAAATAATTCACCTATAATAATTTTTGAAAAAGATCAAAAAGATTTACTAGTAAATATAAAAAAATAATTATTAGAACAAATAAAATATAATTCAATTAATTAATAATAAACTTGAAAATTTTGCAAATATTATTAATATTTAACTAGTTTTTATATTATCTAGTATTTTTATAAACTAAATTAAATTAAATTTTTGTTTGAATTTGAGTTTAATTTAAAATTTGAACTAAATTCAAACCAAATTTTAACTTGAATTCAAGAAATATTTAAAATAGAATTTGGAAAAAAGTCTAATTTAATTTGAATTTAATTCAATTTAAGCTTGAATTAATTCAAACCTTATCAAAAATCTAATTTGAAAATTTGAATTTAATTAAAAATCTGGTTTGAGTTTGATTTAAATTTGGTTTGAACTTTGAACCAAATTAAAAGTTTAGTTCAAGTTCAAATAAATATTTAATAATATTCTAAATAAACTTATAGATTATAACTAGAATTACAAATTAGTATAAAATAATTAATATTTAAAATAAATATTTAAAAAATTATATAAGTTTAAAAAATATTTTTAATTATTTATAATTATAATTCACTTTATTATATTATAATATTACTATTTTACCTTTAATTATTCTTATTATATATTAGTTTAAAAGTATAATAATATTCTTTTTAAACTTTTTTTATTTAATAATAATAATTTATATTTTTATTCAATTATTTCATATTATTATTATATTATTTTTAGTTTAGATTTTATTATTATTTAAATAATCAATTAATTCATAATATTATTACATTATTTTATATTTTAAATCTTATTGTTATTTTATTTTATTTATTGTTATTTCAATTTAATTAGTGATATATGAATTTTATACAAATTATATTATAATATTATACAATAATTATTATATATCAGCA